ATACCAGTGATGCAAGGAACACTAAAAATAAGCACTTCATGGAAGAGAATATCCAGATGGCCAAAAACCTAGAAAGAAGTGTGTTCAACATTATTAGTGTAGGACCTACCTCTTCTAAAATAAGACAGACTGATAGTTCTTAGTGTTAGGATATAGAATAACTTGAGCTCTCACACAATCATGGTGGGAAGGCACTGATGAAACTGCTTTGGAATGTTGGTTATTTGTTAAGGCTGAGCCGATGATTTCTTATGACTAAGCAGCTCCACTTATAAATATACACCCAATGAGGGTGGGAAGGTGGCTCAGTGGTAGAGCGCTTGCCTTGCATACATGAGGCCCTGGGTTCTATTCCTCAGCACCACATAGGCAAAAAGAAAAAAGCCGGAAGTGGTGCTGTGGCTCAAGCGGTAGAGCTCTAGCCTTGAGCTGAAGAGCTGAGGGACCGCGCTCAGGCCCAGAGTTCAGGCCCTATGACCGACCGGACCCTAAATAAATAAATAAATATACACCCAAGAGAAATGTATACATATGATCATGATAAGATGCCTGTGAGAATGTTCACAGCAGTTTTGTTAAAAATAACCCCAAATTGTTGTTCTGAGAAAAATATATACATATCTGAAATGCTATGGTGTAATTCTATGGTGCACTTAATACACATTAAAATTAATACACAGTAAAAATATAAAACAAGTTCTGTTGAAGAGGAAAGGGTTGAGCCAACAAGGAATGGAATAATGATAATGAAATTGGTTGAGGTGATTTGTTTGCATTTATGAAAATGAAACTTGAAATCGTTTTAAGCAGCAGCAAGGATAAGGGACACAGGGGTGAGATTGACCAGTATGCATTGTATACATGTGTGGAAATGTACCAATGAATTGTCCCCACCCTGTAATATATACTAATTAAAATAAGAGAAAGTCCCAAACAGAAAACAACAGAAATCTAATAAAATGCAATGTCCAACAGAATAGAAAAAATGAAGTGTTATTAATTTATACACTGGAATGTTCTACAGCAATAAGGATAAACTACCTGTGGATATACACAATAGTGTGAGTGAAACTTACAATCAACATTGGGCAAAAAAAGCCAATTACAAAAGTGTTTACCTCCTGAATCCATTTATGAGTGTTACCATAATAGTTTAGTTTTGCCAGCCAAACTTCAAGTTAAGATAGCCGTTTTCTTAGTATAAGAAAAAGATGGCTTCTGTGGTTTATTTTCTAGATCTGGGTACTGGGTTCACAAATGAAATCTGTTTGTGGAAATTCATCACTGCAGTTAGTGGGTTGAATATCATCTGCTTTATTGGATATATGTTATATCCCAAGATGAATACAAGATAATTATAATTGTTCCATAATTATCAGTTGTCTCTTGTCTTACTTGATTTTGGTATTAGCTGAAATTTTTTACTATTATTTGATTTTAAACCTACTTGTCATTCTCCCTAATTTTTGTAAAATCAAAGTACATTCCAAGCTTCTAGGAAAAAGTTGACAAAGGAACATTTGTTCTTATCTCTGAAAAAAAGCACCAATCACTCAACTTTAAACTGACACCCAAAGGCTTTCAAAAATAAGTTTCAGTTTACTTTTGTATAAAGGACATAAATGAAACTGAATATTTTATAAAATGAGAATTCAGATTGAGTAAGTTATAATCTGTATCTAGGCTGGGAAAGTGGCTCAGTGGTAGAGTGCTTGCCCCGCATGCATGAGGCCCAGGGTTCAATTCCTCAGCACCACAGAAGCAGCAAAGACTGGAAGTGGCACTGTGGCTCTAGTGGTAGAGCACTTGCCTTGAGCTGAAGAGCTCAGGGACAGTTCCCAGGCCCAGAGTTCAGGCCCCATGACCGGTCAAAAAAAAAAAAAAAGAATCTATCTAATGACATGATTTGATAATAGTTATCACATAATTATTATGACTGCAAACCTACTGAATCTGGAAAAAAATGGGTAAAAATTTCAGCCTTTACTTGATCTTGAATATTTTAGTAGTCCTGCAGAACACAATTCCAATTTAGAGAATCAACCCTCAGAAAATCGCTAATTCAGATTACTTCAGCTCAGGCCCCAAAGTATGTTTCCTTTTTTAAATTTATTTTTATTGTAAAGGTAATATATAGAGGGGCTGGAATTACACAGGTCAGGTAATGAGTACATTTCTTTTTGAACAGTGTCACCTCTTCCCATGTTTTCTCCCAATTTTTCCCTCATACCCCCTCCTCCCCAAGTCATATAGTTCATTTCCAATATAGTGTCTAGTAAGTATCACTGCTGAATTAGTTCACCCTTTGTCCTACTATTACTGTGCTTCCCCTTACCCTCCCCAAAACAGATAAATTTACATATAAGACATGAAGTACAAAAATAAAAAACGGTGACAAAAAGGAAAAAACAAAACAAAAATTGCAAAAAGTAACTTTAAAAAACTCTTCTTTCCATTTCTTAGAGTTCATTTCGATAAATATCATTTTATATGATCATATACAAATGATTTCACCTACATCAGCATCCATGTAATATAATAGATTTAATCATTGATTTGTAACTTTTGTTTGGATTCTCAGTCTGTTATACTCTTCCTCCAACATGTACCTTAGTAGATTTGCATAAACTCAGTCTCCTCGCTGATAATGAAGTTACATAGAAGATCCCATGTGAAAGTTGAGAAACTGGACATGTTTTCCCTAGCTTTGTCTGTGAATGTTTACTTCTTAGAAAGTCTTTGAAGGTGGGGCTGGGAAGTTGGCTCAGTGGTAGAGTGCTTGCCTTGCATGCCTGAGGCCCTAGGTTCGATTCCTCAAGCACCACATAAGCAAAAAGAAAAAAGCCGGAAGTGGTGCTGTGGCTTAAGTGCTAGCCTTGAGCTGAAGAGCTGAGGGACAGCGCCCAGGCCCAGAGTTCAGGCCCCACGACCGGACCCCCCCCCAAAAAAGAAAGTCTTTGAAGGTTAAAGACTGCTATGATAGATATTTCAACAAATAGCCAAAATAACCAGTATCCTGGCCCCTTTGGCTTTATGTATAAATAGTCAAAGAAGCCAACTGGTGAAAGGTTACCTCTAACTTGTGGTTTCCATGTTTTTGATGGAGAGATAGGAATCATTATTGTTGATACATGAGCAATTTCAACTGGGGAAAAATATTATAACTGAAAGTTTAAGTTTATTGAAGTATAAAATCTACTTTCTCTAGCCCTGGTGGCTCACGTCTGTAATCCTAACTACTTAGGAGGCTGCGATATAAAGATAGTGGTTCAAAGCCAGCCTGGTCAGGAAAGTCTACGAGACTATCTCCAATATACTACAAAGAAAAGGCCAGAAGTGGTGCTGTGGTAGAGTGCTAGCCTTGAGCCAAAAATGCTCAGTGCCTAGGCCCTGAGTTCAAGCCCCAGGACTGGCACCAAAACAAAACAAAACAAAACAAAACACCTACTTTCATATATTTGAATTTTAGAAATGTAAACTCAAAATTTTTAAATATCTTAACAATTAAGTAGAGTTTATTTTATAAAGCAATCTGTAGTTGAGCAATTCTGCTTTAGAATTGTCATTTTAAAATAACGTGGTTTTTCACAACTGTATTTAGTAATACAAAATATATATTTCATGAATAAAATTAGTTATTAGAAACTTTATTTTTATTACTGGGTGTGGTAATAACAGACTTTTAACCAAGTAGAGTTACAAATGATTGTGAAGTTTTCTCTACATGATTGGGAATAAACAAAATGCTTGAGGATCAGAAATTGTGTTTTTTGTTGTTTTAACTACTATGTTTGCCTCTCAAGAATCAATAGAAAAAACAACATCAGTGTGTTATCAACCATGTATCCTGGTTTTCTTTGTGCAATTCCATCTTTAGGGCTTCTTTTTGAGTTACCATATCTCACATAATAGTTGTGCTTGTTGTTCAAAAGTTTTTATTAGTAATGTTAAGTCCCAAGTTTAAATACTAACTAAAATAATACTATTTAAGTTATAGCATCAAACTTGTAAAAGAAAAAGAAGTAGGTAAAATAGAATAGGGTTTCCTCATAGGACTCAATAAAACTTTGTTTTTCAGAGTGTGGTCTCTGGAACCTCATTCTGAGAATAGAGGTACTGATTAAGATGCAAGTTCCTAGGACTGCCTCCAAGTAGCATGCATTTGTTTGGGCATCTTGACTAATATGAAGCATAGTGAACTCTATGAGACCAGCAGCATTCCTAGTCATAGGTGACCTAGTCATAAGCAACTCAGGTCTTTGAGGCAGAGTATAAATAATGAGTCAGAAAAAATAAAACATTGTATCCAAGAAAAGACATTTTGACTGATTGTAACAGCCTTGAAATTTTCACATTTTATCATTGCTTTATGCTAGCTGAGAAGTTGAGTCCTTTCTTTACTCAAAAAATACAGCTATTTTACTTATTATAAGTTATGGTCACAAACAAAATACTTATAAACTATGTCTGCCTGAGTTGGTAGAGAAGAGCAAATATCAAATGTACTGTCCTCAAACCTCCATTCAGTCATTTTAATACTATATTTCTAGGGATGTGTGAAAGTAAATGCACAGGTTCAGTAAAATAGTCCAGTACCACCTTCTGATTCCACAAGTGTAGGGATTCAGAATGCATCGTCAGCTCTCAAGTGGTCCTCCATTTATCCATAGGATAAATATCTGCCCCACATTCTCCCCCAAAGGAAGGCTGCCTCCAGTCTTATTCTTCCTGCAAAGAGTGACACACGACACAGTGACACCAGTGGACACGAGAAGTTCACTTTGATGGTTGTGGGCCGTTCTCTTGTCTAGAACATTGGTGAGACTGTCGTTGGCGTTGATAGTGTTGACCGATCTGTAAATACCATTGATGGTGATCTCTGTAAAATGGATCCTTCTTTCTCTTTTCGTTATAAAAGGAAACTTTATTTCAGAGTAGAAAGTGCATTGTCTGAACTCATCAACACCCTCTCTATCCCTCCCCTCCCCCGTTTGTTGCAGACCAGGATGAAAGAGCAGCTGAGCTCAGCAGGGAGCAGAATGAGAAAACCATCCGGAGCACGCAGACTGCGCTCCGCAATTTCCGGGAGTTCCTCATCTCCAAGTACCCTTCGGAAACCCGAGAGATTTATGTCATCCCTTGCAAGGAGTTGGATGCCTACCTTGCCTCTTTCTTTGTTGATGCCAGGCAGAAAGATGGGTCCGAGTACGAACCCAACAGCCTGGCGAATTATCAGTGTGGGCTAGAACGGTACCTGAAGGAACACAGGTATGGCTACAGTATCACCAGGGACAAGGAGTTTAAGCGCTCCCAGGAGGCCCTGAAACAGAAGCAAATCGAGCTCCGCTGCAAAGGCAAAGGAAACAAGCCGCACAAGTCCATGAAGCTCACCTTCGCGGATGAGCTCATCCTGCGCAAAAGAGGGCTGCTAAGCCGGTACAACCCGGAGGGTCTGCTCAACCTCGTCTGGCTCAACAACACGAAAGCCTTCGGCCACTGCACGGGCTTCCATGGGTCTACCTTGAAGTGGGGCGACATCCGGCTCCGAGTCACAGAAACGGGCCTAGAGTACCTGGAGTGGATGGGTCAAGACACTGGTGACCTGAACGCCAAAACCAAGAGAGGGGGCACGGACTCACGTGTGTATGCCACCCAGCACGCCCCACAGACCTGCCCGGTGCAGGACTATAAGGAGTATGCCCAGAGGCGGCCCCCTGCCATGCGCTATGAGGATGCCCCCTTCTACCTGTCCATCAAGCCAGTGGTGAACTTGGCGGCTCTGCACTGGTACAACTGCCAAGCCCTGGGCAAGAACAAGCTGGCCAAGATGGTGAAGACCATGTGCGAGAAGGGCAACATCCCCGGCAGGAAAACCAACTTCAGCGTGTATCAGAGCTGTAGCACCTTGTCGGAGGCCCAGAGCAACCAGCTGGTACTCATCTGCAACAACCTAAGCCAGCAGGCCGCCCAGTCAGTGGCCGGCCACTCCAACAGTGGCAATTTCATCGTCTCCGCCTCCTATGACTCCTCCTCAGACACTGCTTGACCAGGTGGCTTGAGCAAGAACCCAGTTTGATTATTGGGTCCTGAGAAACTGTGATTAACCACCACTCCTCCTTCCCTTCCGTCTGCCCTCAGTGTTAATTAACTTTATAAAAATATAAATATATAATATATTTTTTCTTTTTACAAATAAGACAGTGGCAATAGTTTAGTATTACTGCCATAGTATTTATAGCTTAAAAGCAAATATGTACTTGTGAGTGATTACATGTTAATTACTGTTACAGACTTGACAAAACTTTATCATGGTTCTCAGGCAACAGGAGAGAAAGAATTTGGTTTTTAAGAAAACTGTCAGAAAGGAAACTGAGAGTCATCTTAAACACTGTGTCCTCAACTCCTGCTTTTCCTCCCTACTTCTCCTCTCACTTTTGGTCTCCTTTACAAATGGCTTTATTTTTTTATTTTTTAAAATTCTATATTAATCAGTAGGAGACAACACTTTTACTACTCACACAAAATGGTATTCAGCCAGATCAAAGTATAAAATTGATATAAGCTGGACCTTGAATTATATATTCTTTTTAACTTAAGAGTTTTACCTCCTGTGCCTCATTTTTCACCATGTTGGAAAATCCAAATGTTTAGAGAATATCTTTCCTTTGGGGAGGGAAAGGGAGTTGAAGCAGACATAAAGGTGCCATCCTTTTTTTTTTTCTTTTGGAAGATATGTGATTTTAAAATAATATGCAAAGTCTGATATTGTGGCAAAAAAAAAAAAAGACTGTTACATGGTTCATTTTCACTGGTGTGTTGGACCTGGGCATAATGTTCCTTGTTCCCAGGTCAGTGTAAATGACAAGTTTGATTATCAGATTTGTAAGACATTTAAAACTACCAAAACTGTGAAAATATTCTCAAGCATTAGATTATATGTATATCAGGCATAAAGAGAAGGTAGAGAATGGAAGTCTTAAGGAAAAATCAAGAAGCACTAGTAGACAACAGGAAAACTTGTTCTTTTCAAAGCTCAGATCTCCTGAATAATTTGTAAATGTTAAATTCAGTCTCTTTTCTCTTAGGGGTTGCTTGACTCTGCATTTGAGATCAAAGGAATATTTATACTCACTTTAAGTAATGGTAGTTTATTACTAGGTTTAGCCAAATTCAAAATATTTTTGAAAATATGCAAATTTCTTCTAAAGCAAATATGAATGCATATATATGTGGTATCCTGGAGTTATAATAATAATAATAACTAATTTAGTCAGACATTTGTAATGGTTTTCCAGGATCTTTGTTTTTGAATCTTGCAGACTATGAATACATCAGTCTTCAAGATTCGAAGAATGATTAAGATCCTTCAAAAAAAAAATAAATTTAGACATTAACATCATAGTACAGCTGACCTAGACTCCTATCTGATACATTAACACACAAGGGGCTTCACATCTTAATTGATTTGTAGTAGCTTGACATCCTGTTAGGAGATATTTGTTCTTCTAGGTAACCTCATAATTCACATTAGCTAGGAAGGTAGATGGTTTTTAATATATTAATTCATTGCATGCTGAGGACAGATTTCCTTCTGATATGCTTTGCTAACTTGTCACAAAGATGAGCTTTTTCAGGGCTCTTTCTGTCACTAAGTCATAAGCACATAAAGACCTGTTCCTTTTATATAGCTCTGCAAAAGGAAATCTGCCATGGGCTCTGTGGGGTGGAATTAACTTCATTTTCATGATTTTCTCTTCACAGAGAAGCATCCATTTATTCATCTAGAAACAAGAAGAAAGGGAGATGATATATTTCTATATGTGTTATCTTAATATTTTCAACAATTTTGAAAAGAAAGTGAGTTATCTCCATTTTTGGTGAGATCACAATAAATCAATTAGATTGTAGGGAAAGAATGGTAATCTTTCATCTCACTCGAGCTTTTTCTATTCACTCTTTTAATACCAACTTGTAATTAGTTCCCAGTGATTTAAGCCAGAGATGGACAGAGTTATCTTTGAGCATCTTTCCATCTCTGAAGACTCATTAAAAGGGATGCTGTAATCTTTCACACCATGACACCATGACACACTGTGTGCACTAGCCCAGGCCCACCCCTGCTGCCATTCGTTTTAAATCAGCGTATCTTTCTCCCCATCCTGTTTACAAAACGTTCTTGTTTTCTTTATTCTAGAGCTTGTCCTCAAGTATACAAGACAGCCTACTTTAAGGAACTGTGTCTTTTAAAAATAAGGTTTTTTTTAATGTGGGCTAACTCACTGTTTAAAAGTCTCAATGAAACATTTTAAATGTTATTGTGTATTTTTTAATCGACATAATTCCTAAGTTATTGACATGTCTCTGACAGCAAAGAGTTTTGTTTCAGGACAGTAGGCAGTCAGTATGCACTGAAAGCAGAACTAGAAAACTCAAATCCCTGTGGTTTTTGAGGTACTGAAATGAAAATTGTCCTGCTTACTTATGCTGCATTTTCATTTACACAGATATAATTAAAGTTACTTATTTATATTTTGTTGTGGTAACTCGAACCAAATAGGAACATGTAGATTCAAAAAACTTGTGAAGAGTGGCTTATTAGAGGCACAGTCAAATTATAGTAACTTTTTGAGATAATTAAATTATGAAAAATCTGCAGCTACCTCTAAATTTTGTGTTCTGCTCTAAACAATACATAGAATATACCATTGCCAAATGAATTTTAACTTAAAATCACTAAACACTGTGACAGAGGTAGATGCCAAAAATCATATCTGCGCTTTAGTAAAAATGTAATCGTCTAAAGCAGGTGTTGACTACAACTGTACGTGCTGCCTTCTCAGGCCATTGTGTAGTTTGTACAGAAACAGTAAAACCATATTTACAGAGTTTACAACTTAAGGCCAATAATATAATAAATTCTCCGGTACCCTTCATATGACTATGGAAGTTTTTCATTGTGTAAAGCTGAGACACTGAACTCATCTGTCAGAAGTTGGATGATACACTTGCATAATTCAATTTTAATTCAATATGCATGTGAATATATTAGAAACCATAGATGTAATTTTTTTAAAACATAAACTATAACCATAATATTTGGAAAGGTTAGAGATATTTAGGGTATTTATCAAAGATAGCTTAGTTTTAAGATTCTGATTCTTGGTCAGTGTTCTTAGGATGGGTTGGCTGTTTCATAAATGCATATAACTACTAAAATGCTTATTTTATAACTTTTTCCTATCTTAACATTTCCCTATGTTAATTCATTTGCCTTAAGTTAAATCACTGCCTGATTTAGAAAAAAAATGGTCTGAAGTTTTTCCTGCATAGATTAGGTCTCTGGTTTTCAGTCATAGCTTAGCATCTGGAATCATTGGCTTTATTTATTGAGCAACTAGGATCTAGACCTAGGGAGAGGTACAGATAATTCCTGCTCTCAACCTTTTTTTTTTTTTAAGGCAAAAACAGTTCCAGCACTCAAAATGTAAGACACTGTAATGAAAGTTGTATTTTTGAGAGCCTAGAAAAAAGTTCTCTGCCAATACCATTTTGCATTGTCTTCCAAACTTTGTGTTCCTACAATCTGTTAGTTCTTCATTGAATATGTTGATTTTCTGTGGAGTACATACTATTTGAGCATTTTGTGGAGTATCTTTCTTAGAGTCTGTTTTAAAAATCAGAAAAAGGTAAAGCCATTTCTGTAGCATCCATTGTGTTCACATAAGTACACACATGCCTAAAAATGTAGAGATTTGTCATCAGTGTCTGTCGTTCGTTGAGTGCTTATAATGTGTTGTTTTGCCAGGTGCTTCTATGTTGTTGTTTTAGTTCTCATAATAATCCCTTTAAATAAGTATTAGTTCTCTTTTGCAAATGAGGAAATGAGAAGTAAAGGGAGTGAACTATGTCACAGTTAATCCATAAGACCATAGTTTCTGAAACTGGATCCAGATCTCATTAAGTTCTATCATTTCCTGCTTAGTTTGTGCTTCTCTAGTAAACCCTGGTGGTAAATTGTAAACACAGTCCACAGTATAATAAAATCATTACTATTCATTTGACTCCATATTTTGGCATGTTAGCAAAGCATTATTTAGGCCTTGTAACTGTACTTATTTTGAGACAAAACAATGAGCAAAGTCTACTTCCCCCTGGCCACTAGCTCTCAGAGAGCAGACATTTGTGTCATTATTTAACACTTTGTCCTGGTGATAGGTGAGTGTGTGTGTGTGAGCACAGGTGCACAAAGGATGAGATGCTTGATTGTTACTTGGTTTGTTTGTTTATTTTTACCACAAGTAAGGCCAAAAACCCAGTTTCAAGAGAGCTCCTTGTTAATTTTAGACAAGGTAGTTATAGGCAAAGGGAATGCCTCTCTACCTCCAATATTATAGGCAGATACTGCTATTGACCAGATAGGAAATACTGGTTGCCAGTCTTCCAAGGAGTTTGGTCTTGTCTACAAATTTGGTGCCAGTAGATTCTCAACTGAGGTATTTGGTTATTGATGTTTGTTTTAGAATAATTATGATTGCTACAGCAGAAAGGTTAGGGTGGGAGAGAATACTGTCATATGATTCCTAGAATTAGAAATAGACTGAAATTATTCGTGTTTTCTTGTAGGTTGATTTTCTCCACAGTTTAATATGAGATAAGCACTTCTGATTTTAATCCCCCTACTTTTTATTAATTTTCTATATGAAAGTAAAGCTATATTTTTATCCTTATTTCCCTAGCAAAAATACAGTTTTAATACATGATGTCTATAAACTAAAACTATGTTGTATAATGCAGAAAATAAATTTCCAAGCCTAAAGTAAAAATCAAGAGGAGTAAATAATAATTTATTGCACTAAGGTAATTTTTTCAGTCATTGAAGAGGAGTTTTAGGGGCTGAGGATATAGTTTAGAGGTAGAGTATGTGCTTAGCATGCACAAGTTCAATCTCCAACACAGTATAAATATCATAGTAGGTATAAATATTGCAAAATTAGCAATTTGGTAAATTTTTCCTAAATAGAATTCTTATTCAAGATTTATGTCTGGGTCTACTATATGATACAGTACAAACAGACCATTAGCAAGGTCATCCATTCTCAATATTTTTTATTTTTCCCCTAATGCATGATATTCAAATACTGCTTTGCCTTCCTACTTGGCACTGCCTGAGATGTTGTGTATAGATTTTCTTAAGGCAGAGTTATAGAGCTAGGATAAAATTTTCAGAGAACCTTATTTATCAAATAGAACTGGGATAAAGAGATACATGGGTGGTACACTTCTAGAGACAGAGCAAAGACAGGGGGTTGAGGATAATAATAGCAAATCACACACAACAATAATTT